ATTGTACGCACGTTAAAATATATATATATAAACTTGTAGTAACTAAAATAAATAACAAATATTCTATAAAAAAATTAAAAACTAATTTTGTCTGTCTAAATATTTATATTTTTCTTGAAATTTATAAAAAAAAATTATAGTGCCCTCTAGTTTACAACATATTAATGAAATTAATTTTAGCTTTTTTGTTTTTTCTGATACATAACTTGTGATAACTAAAAATCTAGACAAAACTAAAAATTGTATAACTTTTTAATGGAATGATCAATTTTATTAATTTAAAAAATATAACAACAAAAAAAGTCTAAATAATAAAATTAAATGGAATAATAGGTTTTTAATGTCATGACGATAAACAGTGTCCACACTTGTAAATGTTGTGGTAGCTAGCCGATGTACATGTTTTATGTCAATTTCCTTAACTGAAAACTCAAAGAGTTAAATTTGTAACTTAATAAGTGTGATTGCAATTTTAAATTATTCTTTTGTATTTTTATAGTTAGGAAAACTTTTGTCCAGATTTTAGTTATCACATGTTAAACTAGTTCATAAAACCTATATTAACTCTATATTAAAAAATATTAACTCTAAATTAAAATAATTTATAAACTTTAAAAAACTTTTTATAATGAAAAAAAATTTTCATTTCAATATTTTAAGATTTCAACATCTGAAGAAAAAGAAGAAAAATTCATTACATCTGTACAAGTATTACAACTCTGTACAGCTTGTAAAGAATAAGTCATTAAAGATGATTCATAATTAACAAATTATTTGATGTGGTGGGTTATAATTATATAATATCTCATTGTTTTAAGCAATCCTATTTTCTTGACAGTAAAGGTTTTTATGCAGCCCTATTTGCTTGACAGTAAAGGTAATGCTTACTTTAGCTGTATACCAGAGAGAAAAATTAATAAACTTACTTGAAAGTTATTAATGAATATCTTTTTTTTTTCTTAATTATTCACCTCCCCAAGGCCCGAGGGGGCCACTACAGTCGAAGAGGCTACTCATTTTTTATTTTTTTTTTGTAAATCATGGTACAACCCTCTCTCAACTCTTTAACTCCGAAACACAAACCTTGACAAGCAAGGCTGCTGCGTGGAGAAATTAAGGTTGATATTAAAAAAAAGTTGAATATAGAAATAAACAAAAATAATGCTGGTGATCAAATTTTAAATCATAATATAACTATTATTTCAATAATCTTGTTCAAAATTAAGATTTTGTTGTTTTAAAGCTAAGCAAAATAATCTTGCATTTACTGTTTTTTAGCCATTTTTTAACATATTCTTAAAAATAATTGTTCAAAATAATAAACATAACATAAAGATAATAACATAAAAGAGCTCTGGTGAGAGTGATGCAATATCCTGTAAAACCTAGTCCAAAAATTGTAAAAAGTTTCTATTTTTTTCTAAGATATCTTCAATATTGCATTGGCTACTATAAAGTATTATGTTGGTCTAAAGGTAACTGCAGCCATACCTAATGCAGCATGGTAGATAGAGATATAACCAATAATAGCATTAGATTATTGATTAAAAACAGTTTGAAAAAGGAAAAAATTGCAAAGTAATAAATATGTGGAAATATTGAAAGTAAATTTTTTTAATATATGAAAATATTTAAAGTAACTTTTGAATGTAGACTGACTCTTTTTTTGACTGATATTTTTTCAATATATATAATGATATGATTTTTTAAATGAAAGACTTTGTACAAAGTGAAACAATCATTTAGATTTAAAATTGGTAAATTTTATTAATTGCTTGCGCATTACACACAGGGGTAGCAATGGGAGTAAATTTGGATTTATTTTGAAACATAACTTAAATAAAGAAGTGCACCTAGCCCAGGCTTGACCAGGAAGGCGTGCGATTTCACGTCATAATATGACCACGCAAATACTATTTAATTTTACTTAACTTGACCATGGCTGTTAAAATGTTTTGAAAATTTGTATACTTAAAACACGCTAAAAAAATGAAATTAAATCTTAACTTAACTATAAAGAAACTTAAAAAAAAATTTATCTTTAAAGAAGCAAATAAATCTTCAAAATAAAAAAAAAAAAAAAAAAAAGAAAAACGTAACTAAAGCCTAAATAACAAAAATAAATTTAAAACTTAACTAAAATAAATAATAAACTATAACGATAGGATTATTTAAATTACGTTTGGAATAAATAACTTTGAATAGTTTATTTTTACCAATGTTTTTATAACATAATATTATGCGAAACCCTTTTTGAATAAAGTAACAACTTACAACTGACGATTAATTAATAAACGCGCACGTTTAAAAGTTTAAAAAGATATTCTTAACAATTCGTCGCGCAAAATAAATCGTTTATTTTATATATTATAGTTAAATAGTTTATTTAAAAAATTGATATAATTTTTTTTATTTAAAAACATTAATAACAAAAAACAAATACTAATATAAATATTAAAAATATATATGTTTTTCATAAGGGTTTTTTTATAAAAAATCATTAGATGTAATTTGTTACTTTATTTAAATGCGTTATAAAAATTTAAGTAAAGATCAAAGTTATTTAATTCAAACGGCTTTCAAAAAAGTTTCTTTTTTTTCTTCTTCTCAACAAAAACTTTAATGATTCTTATATAAAGTTTATTAAAGGGACCTTCGCTGTTTAAAGTTGTCGTATAAAATTCCATTTTTTTTTTAATTTTCACTTTTTTTATTTTGGCTTATAAAAAATCTTATATAATTAAATAATATAAATAAAAAATTATACAATTTTAAATGATATTTTAATTTAAAAGCGTTTTGCTAATATAAAAACATTAGTAAAGATAAATGCGTCAAAGCAATTTCTTTGAATTGTAATTAAAAATCTATTTTTTCAGCGCATTTGTTAAAAACCGTGGTTAAATCATCAAAACAAAATATTATTTGCGTGGTCATATAAAGACTTGAAACCGTACGCTTTCCTGGCCAAGCCTGCACCTAGCCTGCATCAATAATAATGACAGCAACATTGTTTTAGGTGCTAAAGAAAGTGAAAAAACTAAATAAAAACCATACAATCCAACTAGTTATCATTAAAACAATCAAAAACTCATATGAACTTTTTAAAGCAATCAAAAAATTGCACAGATCTAGCATAAAACACACGCAGAAATCGTCTCCCTATGACAAAGCTACAATATGCATGAGAAGAATTTGGAATTAAGCCCAGAATGTCAATTGTTCCTTGTACAACATAATAGAATTCTGAGTACATGTGTGTCGATTCTGAGTATATGTGCGTAAGGTCATTTCTTTAAGCTAAAGTTGCGATAAAATTACAAAAATAAACGGCAAAAAAAAAATTGTATCATTCAGATGATTAATGGAAGACATGGAAGATGTCTCCCATTAATCATAAAGTAGCTTTATCAGTTAATAACAAGCCAACAATTCTAAGACTAAAAAAGTGATAAAATAGTCAACTTAATTCTAACAAAATACTAAAATCGAATAAAATGTTCACTAGATAGGTTGTTGTGCTAAAGTTCTTAAACTACAAAATAGTGGGCCAGCATTATGCAAACAGCAAAATGACAATATTAAAACATATATTTTTATGAAGAAAACACAAAAATAAATTTGAACACTAGTTGTGTTTTTGAAATGTATCAAAGATGTATTAAATGAATGATCTGTTAAAATTTTTAAACATACTACACAATTGTCTTCAAATTGCTTGTGTTCTTCACAAAGTTCTTTTGCATATTCTGTATTATCTCCAATTTCTGTGTAGTTACTCATAAACTCTGTTCTGTTTTCATTTATCCAAGAAAGCATCTAAAAAAATTCAACAAAGACTTTTTCATAGCTATTTAAACATGCATAAAAAAAAAGAAAATTTATCACACAAATTTTACATTAAAAAAAGCTACAAAATATAGGAAAGTAAAAAACTAAAAAAATATATTTAAAAATGAATAAAAAACCTTTTCAGCATCTTGTTTAAAAAGGTTGAATTGAAACCTTTGTTCGAGTTGAGTTCTGCGATTGATCCAAAGATCTTTAAGCAAAACTATTTTATCTTTTAGTTCTCCTAACACTGTATGCACCTAAAAAAGGAATAATTCATTTAGAAATTTAAAAAAAAAAACCTTATAAAACTTGTGCAGTATATAAATAATAACCTTTGTTACAGCATCTCTGTACTCATCTTTCATCTCGTTTTCATTTTGACATTTGCATGAATTCTTTATAATTTGAATAACATTGTTTCCTTCTTCAGCTAGTAAGCCAACAGGAGCTTTTTCAATCCATTTTCGCACATATTGATGATGTTGTATCTGCTCACGAACACCGTCTACTGTTAAGGCATAGTCATCCTGGAGAAGACTGCGCCTTATATCATCAAGTTTCGATGAAAGTGCATATGTTTCAAAAAGAAATTTTTCAAAAGCCTAAATAAAACTCTAAAATTATTTTTATTAGGAGAATAGCAGTAATGAAAAATAATAATATTATTTTTATTTTCAAATGAAGTATTTTAATATACTACATATAGTATAGTAATTAAGTTATTATAATATTCTACATATAGTATTATATTGTTCTGGGATATAACAATAAAAAATATAAAATTTAACTAAAAGTATGAGAGGAGCTTTAAAAGAATTTAAAACTTTTGTTCAGGACAGAAATATTCTTTCAAAAAGCTTCAGCAAAAACACATACTGTCGCAGTTACTTTTATTAGAAATTCAGTCCAACAAAGCATGAGCATCATTGAAAAATATAAAAATAATAACAAATTATTATTATAACATAGAGTTTTATTCATATACTTGATTTTTTATTATCTTTATATTTTTCAATAATGCCCATGCTTTGTTGGACTGAATTTCTAATAAAAGTAATAACGACAGTATGTGTTTTTGCTGAAGCAAAACAAACAAGTCAGATAAATTTAATGGTTTGTGGGAAGTTTACTATATAAGTAAATAAAAAGTTTTGAGTAGGTAGGAATAACCACAGGAAATTTGTAGATCAGCCTCAAAAAAAAAAAAAAAAAAAAAAAAAGCACAACTATTTGTTTATTTATAAATTTAAGTTTAGAAAAACTACATTCACAAGATATTTCTGTAAAAAATAATAAACTTATATGAAAAATACATTAACTTATAAATAAAATAATATAATAAATTTTTAAGTTTCTTCTGTAAGTTACAGAAGAAATAACTTCTGAAAGCTTATAAATCCAGGATGGGTAACAATTTGACTTAAGGTTGAGTGGGACTATAAGGGAGAATTAGGCAAGTAAAGTATTATAAAAACAACGCATCACATGACAAAGTATTTTATTTTAAATCTTCTTAAATTTTACTTAAAATTTTAAGAATTACCAATCTCATAGAAAGCCAATCATTATGCTGATATATATATGTACCCCCTAAATCTTCAGTTAACTCTTCAGGAGCAATAAAAGTAAAGACATTCTCTTTAGAAACAACATTTATCTAAATAAAAAAATATTTATATTCTTTTTTTTTTACATTTATATTCAATTGAAAATAATTATTCAATCTTTTATAGCTTTATAGTATACATTTATATACTAAAAAAACAAATACTAAAAATCTTCAGAAGGATAAAGATAAACCTTCAGTTTATTAATTTTTTTTTAATGTTAGTTTACCTCCTGAAGGACAAGAAGGCCACTACAGTCTAGGAGGCTACTATAGTTGTGGTTACAACTCTCTCTCAACTCTATAACTAAAAAACACAAACCTTGATAGATAAGGGTGCTGTGTGGAGAAACAAGTTAAGCGCAGTACTACCGGGATGTAGTGGGGATTGAACTTAGAACTTCTTGATGAATGAGGCAAGCACTCACTACACTACTACCGCATACTATATAATTTATTATTTAATTTTTAAAAAAATTAAAATCTTTTATAATTTATGTGTAAATATTTTAAGTACTGGTAACTTTTGGATAAAAAAAAAATTTGAAAATTTAATCACAAATAAAATATAGTTACAGTACAATTAAACTATATATAATTCATCGAAAACTCAACATTAAAAACAGAAAAACATTTTTTAATTTGTAATACACAAATCATGATTTCACATTATCACTTATGTTTATTTTACAAAATATCTTTAATAATTTGTAATACACAAATCATGATTTCACATTATCACTTATGTTTATTTTATTATCTCCAAGGAACAAAGCCTAATAATTTGTTTATTGCTATAACAAATATTTAAAAATCATACCCAGACAACAACAACAAAAAATTTAGTTAAAATATGTTTTCTCTCCAGCTATTCTGCTAACTCTTTATGAATGTCATCTGCCAACTACCTTAAAGTTTTTTTTTTTTTTTTTTTTAAATCAACAAGTACTGAATTACAAGACATTTAAAAACTTAATTCTGAATATATCTATAACTTCATCACTTTAGAACGCAATTCTTTTTTACAATAGTAAGTCAACCAAATTTATAAAAAAAGTGTAAGAAACATTTAATGATGATAATCCCATATAAAATAGTGTTTAACAAGTTAAACTGTCCTTTCTTGATTTGGATCAGCTAACAAAGAAAATTCTCATAACATTTATAACAAACTTTTTGATTAAAAATTTTAAAACACCTGTATGCATTTCTGAACAAAAATTATAGAAATTATAGAACAAAAACAATAGCAAGTGATAATCCTTTGATTTTACATAATAGATCTAGTGATATGACAGCAGTTTTAATTTTGCATGAGTTTAATAAGTATATAAGAGAGGTCACTAGTTTAAGATAGTTAGAAAAAACATTAAGTAGAAGACAAGTATTTTTTCATTTATATTAAAATTATTACAAAAAAACGATCGACCAAACTTTTATTTAATTCAAAATTCATCGGCAATTGCAAGCTCCAACATTCATAGAGATCACTTAAATTGTTTAAAATTAAAAAGATTTTTTAAGTTATAAAAAATCATCTGATTTGATATATGGATAATTCTAAGAAATTGTGTGATTTGATATATGGATAATTCTAAGAAATTGTGTGATTTGATATATGGATAACTCTAAGAAATTAATTGATTATATATATGGATAATTCTAGTTTACATTTTAACAAGTTGGAGTTAAGTTTATAACTGAAACTTATTTAAAATAAACATTTGCGAATCAGAACTAATCAGTGATCAAAATAAAGCAATATCACTTCTAAAAATTTATCTAAATTATTTTAAAATAAAACTTTCAATATTAACCTAAAATGAGACAAACCTCAAATCTGTACTTAGAACTTGCCATTGAACTCGATAATATTTTTTCTTTGTACTTTTCAGGTTTAATTATGTATACAGCAAATATTTTAAATGGGAAACCATCCTAAAATAAAAAAATCCTATTTTAAAGTGTTAGTATGAAAATTAAAAAAAGTAAAATTATTGCTATGAATAAAAATATTGCTATGAATTTCTTCAACATTTTATAGTTTTTAAAATAAATGTGTTAAAGCTGAAATAAAGCATCAACGTGAATATAAAAACATAATTTTTATTAAATCATTTTTTTTGAACATTTTTTCAGATTGATTTTCAGTGAATATTTTTAAAATATGAAAACTATGATTGGCTGAAATGATATGAAAACATGATTACATAAATAACAATAAGCTGTTATAAATATATATTATATGTGTAAAAATATATATATAATAGCTTAAGGTTTATCAATGTAATCAAGTTTGATTGTTTCTGAACTCAATGCATATCACTATATGTTAGGGCTTCTTCAGCCTTTAAAACCTATTATGCATCTAAACCTTTAGTGTCAACAAATGTGTGTTAAATATAATCTTTGAATTTCTTCTGATAAAACATGTAGGCTATTCCATATGGAATCATCCTAAAAAATACTTTTGCCAGCCTTATGCCTCAGTATTAGTTCATTTTTACTTTAAATGCAGTCAATACTAAATTAATGATTGCAAAAGTTTTAACTAAAAATAAACATTGATTATTGAGATAATATTTGAAATAATGCTAATTAAGCATTTTAGTGATAACATAAATTGATAACAAAGCAACTTTGACATGATTGATATTTTATTGATAACATAACAAAGCAACTTTGACATGATTGACATTTTAGTGATAACATAAATGGATAACAAAGCAACTTTGACATCTTGCTAATGGTATAAGGGATTTTCCTTAAATTTGAACTTTATTAAATTTTTGCTTGAGAAATCAAAAATAGCACTCTAAGGGCTTGATAGTTTCAAGACATGGCTTGTTTATTCAATTTAAATAATGAGCTGTAAATTATTGATTTTTGAAACTAAAATGCTTGTTTTTACCCAAAATCCCTGAAAAAAAGTTTAATTTTGTCTCTTACACTTGATCTATCTAATAATTGAGTTTCATACTCAAAATTTTTTTTCAAAATTTTTAAAACATAAACTTTGCAATAAAAGACATTGAAATTTATTTTAAGTCATTTTTATCTAACACCTTTACTGTAAAAGGACAACTACTTCTTCCTCACCCCCCAATTTAAAAAAAAAAAAAAGAATTACAATGTAACTACTTTTTTTATTTCGTTTGTATAGAACTGCTTATGCTTAGTCTAAATCAGATGTGATATAGACTTAATATTGTTGTAAGTGTAGTTACTGATATTTTTGTAAGTTTAGTATTTTTCTTTGATTTATCAAGTAAACATAATTCTTGAACTTTCTAAACAAACCCTGTGCTGTGATCAACATTTTCTAAAAAGCAACAGAAAGATTTATGTAAAAAAACATTTTTATAATCACCATAACAACAAAATCTCTCCCTTCCCCCTCCTTTCCTCTAACAAATACTCACTAAAATCTTCTGAAGAAATGGGTTACTTCATAAACACAATATTTTTTTTTTTACATATTTTTTTTTTTTACTCCCTACATTTATTATGCATCAAACACAGTTAATAACTTAAATACTATGCATATTTATATAATTAATACACAATAATATAATTGTGCTTATACGTAATGATATTTAGAATATGCATGGTGTAACTAACAAACTTCTCCCCTAAATTTAAAAAATCGTTTTTAATAAAAACAACTATGCATGTCTACGTTAAGTGCATTTTTTGCAGTTTAGAGCAAAGTTTTCAAGCAAGAATTTAAAGTAAACACTATATCTAGTTGGCTATTATATGGTTTTGTGCAAAAACTGGTTAGCAATTTAAAAAAATGCAAGGGCTTTATAAAAAATAGCATTTCAAAGTATAGCCATATGCATACATCAAAAACCTCAAACCGTTACAGGTTGACATAAAGTTGGCAAAAAAACTTGAATCAAAGGGGTTACCATAGACACCAGGTCAGCTGCCGAATGCCGACCCTAATTCCGAGGGCTGACATACATAGATACATATATATATATATGAATTGGTGCTATACTATCTTTATTTGTAAGCAATAAATTAGAAAAAACATGGTTTTTGTTGAAAAATATTGGGCGATTCCAAACTTTTGGCCACGACTGTATATATATATATATATATATATATATATATATATATATATATATATATATATATATTCATATAATACTGCATATTAGACTAGAGTATATAGCACCTACAATGTTGAACAAATCTAGCAATATAAAAAGTTGCAAAAATTTAATACTTGGTAGGATAACCGCGGTTCTTTAATACAGCCGCAATTCGACGTGGCATGCTCCAAACAAGTTTCTTGCACAGTTTTGGTGTTATCTCTTTTGTCCAAACTTCCACTAGCTTCCTCTGTAAATCTTCAATATTCTGTGGCACCTTTCTTCTCACTTTACGCTTCAGTATGGTCCACAAATTCTCTATGGGGTTAAGATCGGGGCTGTTACCCGGCCAGTCCAGAACGGATACCTTGTTTTTCTTGAAAAAGGCTTGCATCACCTTGGAAGTGTGGCATGGAGCATTGTCTTGCTGAAATATGGTTGTTCTATGTGACTCCATGCTTGGGAGCAGCTTTTCCTGTAGAATTCCCTGATAAATCTGGGAATTTTACTCTCTGCCCCTTCTGTACAAAATGTAACCGGACGCGAAATAGAGCTGAGAAGTAACCCCACACCATTATTGACAGTGGATGTTTTACAGTAGGCACAGTGTACTTCTGAACATACCTGGATCCTTGTGGTCTTCTAACATAATTACATGATGTCCCAAATTGTTCAAATGTGCTTTCATCAGAAAACATTACTTTCTTCCAGTCCTTCTCCTTCCAATGTTTGTGCTTTTTGCAGAAGTCCAACTTCCTCTTGCGTTGAGTGTCATTCAAGGCTGGTTTCTTGGCAGGTCGTCGAGCAGGACGCTTCAGATCAACCTGCAGCACACGTCTGATCATTCTTGTGCTTGGTAGACTTGCTTCAGCATTTCCAAATCATCCAGAATCCCATATGATGACAGCTTGGGATTATTCTCCACAATAAACTTGATGCGTCTTGTCAACCTTTCAGTCACTTTTTTTGTCTGCCACTTCTCCAACGTGACGAAAATGTTCCACATTATCGAATTCTACTTAATGTCTTACTAACACAAGATTGTGATACATTTACAATTTTTGCAATATCTCTAGTTGAATTTTTTTGTTGAGCTAATATAAGAATTTGAACTCTAATAACTTCTGATAATTCCTTTTTTTTCCCATTAAAATGATCAAAAAATGTAACTAAAACTGCTGCTTAGCTACCACAAATGGTTTAACTAAATAAGACAACTAAATAGAATAAATATTTCTGACCAAGGTTCGACAAAAACACAAAAAAATAAAAAGTTCACATGTGATTCTAAACTTTTGGCCACGACTGTATATATATATATATATATATATATATATATATATATATATATATATATATATATATATATATATATATATGACATACATAGATACATATATATCTTATACTGCTGAGTTAGGTGAGCATGATGATGTCATACTCACCTAACGTCAAATAGCCTGCTGCCGGGGGCTTCAGTACATACATATACCGACAAATAGCCTGACTCCCAGTGGAGTGCTGCTACATCGACTGAGGGTTTGGTATGGGTCAGCAACCTTTTCATTCATTATTCTTCGTTTTCACTCATCGTTTTCTAAAAACGCTCACTTAATTTAGGCTAGCAAAAAAAGTGAGCAATTGCGCATATAAATATGCTATAGTAGATTTTTAATAACTAAAATTGATGTATGCAGTCAATTTTTAAATGTTGACATTAACAACTTGCCTACTAAACAATTTTGCAACATGCAATAATGACTTAGGTTATGGAATAAAAGTTGTGTCAAGAGTGTTCATTACAATAGTTAAGTAGACACAAGATATTGAGTTAACTTTTATAGTGCCAACAGCACTATAAAAGCTAAGTAATAAGCATATGTAAATAACACTATGAAAGTTATAAAACGATTGAGTGTTAACATTACTATGAAAATCAAAGATTGATTCAAGTGTCAACAGTATCATATAGGGTTATATACTTATTAGGAAATTCAACAGCAATGCAATGATAATATATTGATCAGGAATGTCAACATCGCTACGAAGTTTGTAGACTGATTAGAAGTATCAACAGCTCTATGAGAGATAAAGCTTTATATTAAAGCTCACGTTTGAACTAACAAATTCAGAAATAAACTTTTACCTAATAAACTTAAAAGATTCCACTTTGCATTGGTGAAAATAGGAAGCTAAATCAAATACTATCATGTATTTAGTTTTACCACAAGAAAATGAGTTGGATATGTTATCTGGAAACATTTCTGAGAATAATGATGCAAGATCTAATGTTCATAATTTTTAAAAAAATTACAGCTTTTTTTATATTTAAATATATTAAATAAAAAAATGGAATTAGATAACTAAGTATTTTGAACTTTTTAAAAACATTTAAAAATATTCAGTAAGGTAGTTAATATTTCTAATAAACTAAGAGTTTTCTAGGTAATCTTAAAGGATTCAAACTGGAAAATTAATGGAGTTTGCAGGTTGTCTTGAAAACTAATGGACTCTCATAAATATAAACATTTTTATAATATCAAAAATTTCTTAAAATTCACAAAACACATTCTTGCCAGTTATTGTTGCTTAGCAAAACTTAAAATAGAAAAATTAAATTAAATTACTGCAAAATAGTCTCTTTAAAATAAAAATAGTAAAATGTCTCTTTTATAATAAAAAATAGTTCAGAAACTTTTTTATTACTGTTTTCAACATGTCTATTATGTTTCTAAATTTCTTGAAAAAATAAACAAGAATAAATTTCCTATTCATATTTATTACGTAACTAAATAAAATATAAATTCTGTTGAACATAAATAAATAAAATCGAAAATGAATAATTCTAAAAAGTTTAAATATTTCTTTTTTAATTATTTTTTATTATTATTACAAATACTTTTAACTTATTTATTTTTATATTAAACTTTTAATAAAATTGTATGAAACTCTGTAAAAAATTTCAATTGGATAGTTTTATTTTAAAAATGTTATAAAATTTTTTAAAAAAAGATTAAACAATTTTGTATTCTTTTATAATAAAAAGACTTGATTATTCAAAAAGTTCACCTTAGAAAGGCTTAAAAAACTTAGCCTAAGCACTTAGCAATTTAGCAAAACAAAATTTAGCTTAAGCACTTAGCAACTTAGCAAAACAAAACATAGCAAAACAAAGGCTTAAAAACTTAACAAAAAAATGTATAATTTTTTATTTTCAAGCCTGAGATTTGTGATTGACTTAAGTTTATGACTAGCATAAGCCATGTAATTGATAAGAAATTTTGCTTAATTGCATAATTTGTAGATAGATTGGTCATAATCTTATTTAATTTAAAAAAATAAATTGAAGAAGCAACGTAATAACTTGTGAATTTTAAATACTACTTTCATAAAATAATTATGACTATTAAATTTCAATATCTTTTATTAGTTTTAATTAAAGCACATTACTCCTTAACAATAGCAATTACAGTACCTGTAATAATTTAGTTATTGGTTTAACATTTCCAAACGGTGGTGTAGGTTTAAGACACACTAAAAAACTGAATCCCTTCTGCTTTTCTTCAGAGCTATAATTTAAAAAACAAAAAAATGATTTAAAAATTAAAGCAATAAGATAAACCTTGTATACATTAAGAAATTTGAGTGGGGCCGGGTTTGATAAAATATAGCCAGGGCCAGGGTCGGGTTTGTGACCAGGGCTGTATAAACATTTATACATCCTAAAGTACATTTTTTTTATTCAAAACTCATATATTTTGTATATATATGCATATATAAACATCATTATGATCAACATGATCACCAAAACCATCGTAACCATAATGATGATGATGATCATCATCATTATCATTATCAAACTTTAGCCTTCCTTATATATGTTATTTCTCTAATATAAATAAACTAGAGCATTTTCTTTGCTTAACTTTTCCATTTTAGTTTATTATCTAAAAAAAAAAAAAAAGTGAAAAAATAGTTAATTTTATTAAAATATTGTTTTTTCAATATATTTTTCAAAATATTTATATAATTTCACTTTATTAGAGACCCAACATGGTACACTTAATTTTTAAAAGCAGTGCTTTTTTATCGTATAGAACACATTAAGGGGGTGCTTATATTTTTCGAAAACATTATTCGAGCATATATTTTTCGAAAACGTTGTTCGAGCATATATTTTTCAAAAATGTTGTTTGAGCATATATTTTTCGAAAATGTTGTTTTAAAAAACTAGAATGTTTTTAAAAACATTCTGAACGTTTTTTTTTTTTTTTTTAAATAAAAATATTCTGAATATTTTTGTTTTTGTTTTTTACTGTAAAACATGCATAGAGTGTCACTACAAAGGAGTGTTGCTACATCAACTATCTTATAGCCTGCTGCTACAAAAAAGTGCTGCTACATCGACTGAGAGTTTGTTTTGGGCAGGCAACCTATTAATTGATAATTAAACTTTATCCGGTCTTTAAAAAAAATAATAAAAAAAAAACAAAACATAAAACAAAACATAAAACTAAAAATTTATGGAAAAATTATATATATATATATATATATATATATATATATATATATATATATATATATATATATATGTAAAAACATATATATACATATTTATATCAAACAATCCCGACAACCGCATGTGGTTGCACACCTTGTTCGTCCACGCTTAAAGTAATTTTTTTAGACAACATGACCACGATTTTATATAGTTAGCATTTTAAGTAATAAAGCTATAAGAAACTAGAGAGAATAAAATAGCAATACTCGAAGAAAAGAACCGAAGACTATACAAAATAGAAAATCTAAATAAAATAAGCTAAAAAAAATCGAATATTAAAAAAAAAAAAATTGCTGTCAAAAATATAATATACCTTAATATTTTACTGTTTAAGTTTTATTATTTTTAGGGCATTTGTTATTTTTCCACTAGCAAAATTGAGGAAAAAGTAGGTAAGAGTATAACAAAAATAAAAATATTTTTTGATATACAACTTTTTCGCAACTTTTTTCAGTCAGTTTTAAGGCAATACTTTATAATTTGCGCTAAAAACATGGAAAATATTTAAACTTGTTTTTCAAATGTTTTTGCTAAACTTTACTGTTTTTATCAATTAACAGAAAAAGCAAGAAAATTCATTGCTATTTATTTGTAAAAAAAATTATATATATTTTTAACAAGTTTTTCATGTAAAAAAATAAAAAGTCATTAATACTAATACTTAAATATAAGATATTTGGTTATTTTCAATACCCCATTAACATAGTCTGCACTTTTGTAGGATTATTCAAATTGTGAATTTAAACCCAATAGCTTTTTTCTGATGAACTATTGTTATTGACGATGCTTCAAAAGTTTGTGGGCTAGTGCATTGTTAATTTACTGAACTTTTTTAACGAAATGTTTAGGAGATTATTTAAAGCTTTTTAAAAAGTTTTAAATAAGCTCTTAATTTTTTAAACAGAGCAATTGTTATGTTCATTATCTCAAGTAATTCGTATTAACATTGGAAATTGGGTAATATAAAAGAAACAATTTCAGACATGCATCAAATGCGGTAAATACATTTATTAAAGAAACCTTGTTATTCTTTAATTTAACATGTTCCATCATTACAAAATTTATTAATCAAATAATATAATTTACAAATAAATAACAATTTGTTATTTTATTTTGACTTTATATTCGCTTTCAATATATTTGTCTAATCATTTTTAAAATATTTTCACTGATGTAAATAACACGATAGACGGAGGAAGACGATTCCATACAGTGGCTATTCTGTTAAGAATAAAATTCTCTCATAATGGACAACATTCTTTATTAGTTCTTTTTTGAATTGAATGGGATTACTTCTGTATACAGATTGTTCCATTAACTCATCAGATTTTACTATCATTTTTAACATAGATATACACCATTTAACTTGTATAAAACCATGAACAATTTTGAAGGACTCTATTAAATCTCCTCTTAACCTTTGAGTTTCTAGCAATGTAGTATTAAACATTTTTAATTGTAGTTTATCACTTAGATGTGAGAGGCTTCATATTCCAGTAGCTTTTCTTTGAACTTTTTCAAGAGCTGCTATATCGCATTTCTTTGATGGATTCCAGATTGGTGCTGCATATTTAAGAAGTGGTCGAACAAAGGTTTTATACGATATTTCAGTAATTGAGGTGGTGTAGAATTCAAATGTGTGTTTAATTAAACCAAGCATTCTGTTAGCTCTGTTGGCAAAGTAATTGATATGTTGGCTGTATTTTCTATCAGTAGATGTCATTACGCCTAGATCTTTTTCTGAATCTGAGCCTTCAATTTGAATTTGTATTTTTTTATCAAAGTCAAAGATTGTATAATTTCTTTTTTGATTATACTTACCAAAATGCATTATTTTACATTTACTTATATTAAGTTTCATCTTCCATTCCTGACACCATTTAGCTATTTTATCTATATCATTTTGTAATTCGTTTCTAAGTATTTCAATTTTGCCCAGCTCATTAAGAGTTTTACTATCGTTGGCGTATATCTTTATTATGTAGAAAAGCTTACAAGGAAGGTTGTTTATGAATATTGTGAATAAAAGTGGTCCAAATACTGATCCTTGTATTACGCCACTACTGATTGTACTCTAGACAGAAAAAGAAGAGACTCACTTAGTGTAAAAACTCACTTGGTGTTGATCGGACTCGAAATCAATGGCATTATGTGGTATTAAGCAAAGAATCATATTTTGAAGTCATAAATAGAAAGAATCATAAGTTTGTATGTCATCTTCCTAATGAAAAAGATTCACTATTTAATTTTGCAACAAGAGCACAAGGTGATGGTGGAACAATTCTGTATGTTTTTATGCAAATGGAATAGGTTTATTGAAGTTTTACTAAGGTCGTTTGAACACTTCTTGTTATTTAAAAGTTATTGCTGAATTACCTGACTATATGGACACTCTTTTTGATTCTGAAGCTGAAGATTTTTATATTATGCAAGACAATGCACCATGTCACAAAGCAAAAAATCTCTGAAATGGTTTGCAACGAAGAACTTTTGGTTTCTAGAACCGCCACCCACTTTACTAGGTGCATATCCAATCAAAAATCTTTGGTCAATTATTGACTAAAAACTCAAAAATTACAACATAAGCAACATAAATTACCTAAAGGATGCTACTCAAGACATTTGGGACAAGACTTCAATCGATCTTTGCATTAAATTGGTAAATTCTGTTCCAAATTGTATTTCTCAAATTTTTAGAGCTAAAAGATCCAACCTTTCTTCATATTACATTATATTCTAATGTTTTTTTTAAATCTAAAATTTTATATATATATATATATATATATATATATATATATATATATATATATATATATATATATATATATATATATATATATATATATATATATATATATATATATATATATATATATATATCAGCCCTCGGAATTAGGGAAGTGTTTGAGGTTGGCAATTTTTGCTGACCTCATGTTTTATAGTAAAACCTTTGCATCAAATTTTTGTCTATATATATGCATATATAAACATCATTATAATCAACATGATCATCATAATCATCATCATTATTATCATCATCATCATTATCATCATGATCATCAACATTATCATCATCATTATCATCATTATTATGATCATCATCAACAGCATAAGAGAGGAAGGCTAAAGTCTAATGATGCTGATAATGACCATCATTATCATGACAATGATGATGATCATCAGCATCATCATCATCAGCATCATCATCATCAGCATCATCAGCATCATCAGCATCATCAGCATCAGGCTTTAGCCTTCCTCTTTTACGCTGCTTCTCTAATAAAAACAATCTAATTTCCTAACTAAAGCTCATTCATACAATATGTAAGGCATTCTCTTCAAATTTTCTTACTTCTACGTCTACCATTTTCTACTGAAGCTGCTACCTCTTTACATGCTGATACCTAAATTACTTTAATCTTTTCTAACAAACATTGTTCAATACAACATTTTTTTCTAATCTGTCTAATATTATGCCTGCTTTTCTTGTCTTGCTAGAGTCACACCACACATCCATCTGATTATCTTCATTTTCAGCAAATACTACTCCATATAAATACTAAAGTTTATATAACAATGAAAGGATATTGTATGCTAGCATCTACATAAATAGCAAACAGATATGTTTATATCCATAATATATGCAAAAAGTGCATATTGGAAGCTTTTGATCCTTCTGGAATAAAAGTTTGAAAGCTTTTATTCCTTCTCTTCAATTTTAAGTCGAGCCTCATTCTACTCCACATTTTTCAACAATTATTTTTTTAATCTTTTTTACAAGAACATCTCTCTTAAGAACAAATGTCCTTTTATTATTGAAATAAGCTAATGTAAAAAAGTCCTGTCTGATGTTAAGCTCTGTTATTCTCAGTTTATTAAATCTTGTTATTCTCATCTACTCTAATTTAACTCTTGAATATAATGGCCACACTCTCCCTGACAGTTAAACAGATTAACCCATTGTTAAACATCGAAATCACTCTGGCTTCCAATACTAAAGTTAATTCTCAATTAAACACTTCTACAGCTTGTGCTTCAGACAAGATTTCCATCATCGTCTTAAAATGTGTTCTCCAGAAATCTCTTCAACTTTTTCTAAACTTTTAAAAAGAGCTAAATAAGTGATTTTTTTCAAAACTCTAGAAGACACTTTGGCCCCTCCAACTATCCTACGATTAGTTTCACTCTGTTAGTTTCTTTATATAAAGGTTTTAAGGTTATTAAATTATATCTTTTTAACTGCAGTAGTGGCTTTATTTGTTTTGACTCAACTTTATACTCTTGTCTTGACAAAAAACTGCTTTGAAAAAGCAGCTGATTTTAAATAATCTGATCTCTCTTCTGTAACAGCCTAAGGCTTGCAGTGGCATATGGATTTAAATTCTGGACTTAAAATCCACAATTTTTGTTAGACAACAAAACTCATTTATTTACTGCAAAAAAAATTAATATTGCAATATTGTTGGCATTCCTCTATTGAGAAATAACAACCCTCTTACAATCATACAAAATTTAAAAGCACATTGTAAATGTAATTAGACCTGCTTTATCCTTTATTATGCCACTATCCTATTGTTGTAAGGTCGCATTTTTTTTGATTTTTCTACAAATACAATCATGGTCAATGCTTAAACGAGCTATCATCTTTTTAACAATAAACCGAAACTCATTTTTGTTTGGCTATTTATTCAACAACTTGCATCCTTTTACTATATTTGCCCCTTTATGCTATAAAAACTTTTTATAGCATGATAATCAATCCAGTTTTTTTCCTTGAACATCAAAAAAATCTTATAACTCTAAGCCATCTTCATGTTTTCCTTTTTTATACAAGTTACAACTTTTTAAGTCTTCAGTTATATGTTTATAGTATTTTAACTGATTGTCTATTTTAAAGTAACTCATAAGTTAATAGTGGATACTTGCAATCTTGTTGGAAGTAAATTAGAGTTTAAAAATATATAAACATATGCTAGTAATTAATAAATAGTAAATGTAAACATAAAATTACATAAATATACTAAGTATTTGGCCGTGTGAATATAAATGAGCAATTGCTTTTACACAGTAAATGGTTAGCTATACATGATTAAAAACTTCAGGAATTTTGCTCAAACTTTTATTCATGTAAAGTGAAGCAATTTACTCAGCAATTGCTCAGCTTTACATGAATAAAAACTTATGTAAAAGTTAAAGTTTTTGTTCACGTAAAGCTGACCAATTACTGAGTAAAAGAAATTGCTCATTTTTATTCACCCGGCCTATTATAAATTCTTTTGTAGCCCCAGCTATCAATCCCTGTAAATCTTATAATTTTGCTGGGACCGGATATATATATATATATATATATATATATATATATATATATATATATATATATATATATATATATATATATTATATATATATATATATATATATATATATATATTATCATATTTATATATTCTATTTAATTTTTATTTTATTTCTATTTTTATTTATACATATTTAAATTTATTATTTTATTATAAAAATATTTTTTTGATATTAATTTTTGTTATTTTTATTTATATTATATATTATTATATTATATATATTTTATATTATATTTCATTTTTAACTTCATCTATTTACAAAAACGACTAATTACAATATTATAACCAAATTTAAACCTTACTGTAACCCTAACCCTAAGCCTGACCTTGATACCTGGCCAAACCAAACACTCAGTCAATGTAGCAGCACTCCCTTGCGAATCAGGCTATTTGATAGTTGATGTATGTACTTTTCATTCTCTATAAAAGTTTCTTACGGGTACATTTTTTTACAAAATAAAATCATGCTTATGGGGACAAAAAATTAACGGGTACACTAAAATGTACCTGATAATGCTGATTCCCCTGATAATGCTAAT